GAGCGAGGCAGCGAGGCGCCATCACTTGACAACTCAAGCACCAGGAGGAACCAACGAGGCAAACATCAAACATCTGTCAGGCAGTCGAGAAGTACTGCGTGTTATAAGAAGCTATGAAGAGATCCCGAGGACAAAACGTTAACACTCAGAAAAACTTTCCACGTTCCCAAAACAAACCGCTTCACAGAAGCATGATGCAAATGTGAGTGAGTGAAACAACAGAAAAGGAGGAAAAGAAACAGTCAATTAAAATTGTGATTTCATGCTTACTGTATTTCCCCTGAAGCAACACAATTCAAAATATGTGAATGTTAGTGTTTATTGATTTAGTGTTTTTTATGTTTAAATAAATATGGCAAACAGTTGCATTTTCCCTCACAGTGTTTTATTAGACATGCACCTCAGCTGAAATAAAGAGCACCTCCTTTAGTGTTAGAAGTTACATTTTTATGAAATGTAATATTATACTCTTTAGGCTTCAGGGAAAACGCAGCAAAGGCCTCATATTTAATGACTGATTGTTGAACGTTCACTTTGCAATAATTAATCAGACCGTATCCAGGCTGAAGTCAGTTTGATAATCACCAGTTATGAGACGAAGTTGGTTTGAAGTTCATATTTGCCTGCTTCATTGTCACTATTCGATTGGTGCATTTTAAATAAAGCACCTTGTTTTACTGTTTCTTCAGACAAATTCAGGTGTTGCAGAAGGGGCTGATTTTATGATCAGCGTTGTCTTATGTATTCACGAATATGACGCGTTTGTGATGATGTCTATACCTCATTTGACTTTAAACTTGGATCTTCTTATCGACTACACATCCAAAGTTCATTATTAGGCTCTGATCAGCGAGTTAATCCTGTGAATATCACAAAGCTTTCCTAGTCTCCCGTGAGTCATAACCGGCTTGTTTGTGCTTGGATTCTCTGATAAAAACTCTCGTCCTTGGTCCCTTTTAAAAGCCGACGTCACAATGACGGTAAAATGACGCATTCAGTGGAATCTGTAGGTGAGACAAAGTGTTGCTGCACCTACACGTTCTCCTTCCTGTCTATCAACACACCGCCCCTGCTGTCCTTCCCCTCATCCGTCCAGCCCTCTTTCTAGGTTTCTTATCTGTCAGGAAGGTACGGTGTAGTCTACAGACACTCGCTCTCACACACATCCTGTCTGCACCTGCAGGCCAGAAAAACTATTGGCTCTAATCTTGTATCTCTCAGCTGTTGCCACGGTGAGTGAGTTTCCAGCGCCAACCAACAGCTTTATCTCTGACCTGCAGAGGGAAACCTGGGAGACCCTATCTCATGTGCACACAAACATGTCGCACACCTGCACTCAAATCACATGCAAAAGTACGGCACTCGCACACCGCCCCTCCAGACGTTGCACCCCACACACACACACACACACACACACACACATATTCACAGAACCAGGTTCATGTGCGCTGTCTTATTCTGGCACAAGCAGGTGTAGCTGTGAAAAGGTGTAATCATGCAGAAATACACGTATGTAATCTTGTCAACACATCCAAACAAAGATGTGAAACGGTGTTAGTTCTGACTAATCGCATAATCTCACACACACTCTCTCTCTCTCTCTCAGCAAGCAGAAATTGTGACGATGACAAGTAGTTCAAGCTCTAAAGACTGCGATAGGACCAGAATATTCTTTATCACTTGACGGTGCGCGGCTTAATTTTAGGGACAGTTTTTTACAGTCTAGCCTGAAAGATTTATCAGCAGACTTTGCCGCTGCATTTACTCTCATGGACTTTGCTCCACTGGAAAAGAAAGGAACACTTCACAAAAACTACTGAGAGAACTTACAGTATATGTCAAGTTTTTCAATTAAATTTTAACTCTCTGCGGGAAAAAGTGAATGGCTTTTAATGTCAAACGCGATAAACACGGCGGCGGCTGAGAGTGCTGGAATGGAAATGAGGAATAAAACTTTTGCGAGTGAAAATGCAGCTCAGTAGAGCTAAGCAAATTTGCATTTAATCAATTTGAAAAAAGGTTTTAATGCAAAGTTAGTTGCAGAGGCGTCGTGTACACACACACACACACACACACACACACACACACACACACACACACA